CATGTTAACAGTTTACCAATTTATGTTGCTTTTATCGCTGTATAGGTTATGTTTTGTTGTCTGTATGTATCTTTATGATTCTGGAAATGGTTTAATCAAAGGAACTAAGGGATGCATGCTTCAGGAAAAAGTAGTTGGCAAAACTGCTAAGTATCTCTTGCTGTTGTGGTTTAGGATGAGGACAATTTCCACTTCTAATCTCAGACAGAAGGGGCCAATGGTGGAATGGGCACTCAAGTTTTTATGTACTTGTGATGGGAAAAACAACTTCACAGTAGCAAAGGCAGCTGAGTGAAAGGGTCCATTAGCCAGAAGAAAGCCTGCAGTTTCCGAGAGTGTGGACAGGATGGGGTGCAGATCAAGGCCCCCATGGTGAGGGGCAGGGCAGGGGCTGGGGTGAATGGGGCCCTGGGGCTAGGGCGGGTTGTGGGATGGAGCTGTGGGCAGCTCATCCAAGGGTGAGGGGGAGCACAGCTCCCTGCTGCTGCACGCACCCCTGGGGGAGGCATGGGGGGATACGTGCCCCCCAGATTTGTGTGTAGGGTGGAGGCTGGCTGCCTGCTGTGGGCTGGGGCCCTGCACCCTGCTGCCTTTGCTCCAGGAACTGTGCAGTGCCACGTTGTGCCTCCTGCTACTGGGTGGGTAGGGGACGCCTCATGCACAAATCCAGGTGGCACATGCCACCCATGCCTCCCCCAAGGGTACACGCAGTGGCAGAGAGCTGCACCTCCCCCCCCCACCAGGCTTCCCTGGATGAGCCTCCCACAGCTCTGTCCCATGACTCACCCTGGCCTCAGGGCCCCATTCACCCCAGTCACTGCCCCACTCCCTCCCTCACCGTGGGGAACGCGATCTACCCCCTGTCCTTTTCCTCTCCCCCTGCACCTTCCCCTCCACAGACTTACCTGTTTGGCACTACTGTACACACCGCTGGACTGCATTTGTGTAGGGTTACCATATTTCCAGTTTAAAAAAAAAGAGGACACCTGTGTGGGGGGGTGCAATATGTTTCAGGGGGGGCAGTGATATGCCCATGCCCTACCTCTGCCCCTCACTCCGAAGCCACAGCCCTCCCAGCCCTGCAGCTGCCCCTCACTCCTGACCCATAGTATCCCACATCCTGCCAGGACATGTGGGGACTCCAAACCCCACACACACACCCACAGCCCCCTACACCTTCACAAATTCCACCCCTCACACACACCACACCCCCAACCATACAAAGTACCTGCATAATTTTGCATAATTTTGAGTTTTTCTGCGCACAGTTTTGAGTTTTTAGCTCTGCGAATAAAATCACAATGAATTGCAACTAATTTTTTTAATCGTATAACTAATCACAATCAGATTTTTTAATCATTTGACAGCCCTACTTCAAACTGATGTTCTTGTTGCATTATTCTCTTCTCCTATATAATAAATCTTTGTTGTTTTGTCTCCTTACTGACTTCCTGTG